CTGGGCACTAATTGAACTTTATTCCTCAACCCGTAAAAACTGTTGAGAAGCAGACTGAATTAAACTGAATTGGAACTAGTTGAAGCTGGAAATAAATTGATGCTAAATTCCCAACAAAATTTGAACCAGTTCGGAGCTCGACTAATGACGAATTCTGAACAACAAAATATGTATAAAATTTCATATTTTTTTCAGAGCTGACCAACTGAGTTTAGTACAATAATAGTTCTGAACTAGTTCAAATTTATTCAAAACTAGTTCGCATTTTTTCAGATATATTTAAGCTTCTATATTTATCATAATTTATCACAATTTCAATTAAAAGAGGAAATGTTGTTCAACTTACGAACCAGTTCCAAACAATATTTGAACCAGATATCAAATTAATTTTCCTAATTGTTTTCATAAAACATAAAAAGAAGAATTTTATATATTCCCTATTCTGGTTCATTTGAACTGATTCACAATAATGCCAACCTTTTTCTGTATGCCATGAAATGTCCATTAATTTCTTCAATTTCTCAACTATTTCCGTTGGCAATCGACGATTGAATTTAGATAGATTTCACATATTTCCTCTGCGCCTTTAGCATTTATTGCATTCGACAAATTTAATTTACAACTTTATACAGTTATCGCAAAACGTATACACATGCATATATACAGTAGATATATTGTTGTATGTCTGGCTTCCGCTGACAGCAATCCGGACGCTAATTGAGTTATGAGCGAGAGTTGAGTTAACTTGCTTAACCCTGTCACAAACCTTTTCAAACACTCGACATACCCTTTCCTCTTCCCTTTTTATTTTGTTGGCTCTCCCTCTCTGCTGCTGTAATGAATAACTGCCAGCTGGCTGGGTGACCCCACTCGGCCGAGTCCTTATGAATAATAAGGCAAATAATCTGTCAGCGTCGCAGCCGTCTGAAACCCATTCGAGGCCACCGCCAACCACCCACCACCCACCACCCGCTGCCCACCGCCCACAGCCCACAGCCTGGCGGGCGCCTATCAACCAAACGACAAACGACTCAATTTCGATGAGAAGGACAACTCTGGCAGCCAGGCAGCCGGCCAGCCGGCCGGGACCTTGCATGTGAGTGTGTGTGGGCGTGGCAAGTAAATAGGGAGCTCGGTGGTGTAGTGTATGGGGGCGTGGCACGGGCGCTAATAACACGAAATCGGATTTGAGCGCTGGTCAACGGTTGACGCTGCGTGTGATAAAAGCAACAACACGCAGTTTTGCGGTTTGCGTTACGTTTTTAGACACGACGCACGAGGCACGAGGCACGAGGCATGTGGCATGTGGCAAGGGACAGGGAAGCACACGCTGCGTATGCGTAACGTGCGTTTTAATGAAATATTGAATTTTATTGCCTGCGTGCCTGTCAACAACTTACACACAGTCCGCAGTCCGTAGTCCGCAGTCCGCAGTCCAGTCGACGTCCACGTTGTGCTGAGCTGAGTCCTGTCCAGTCGACGTCGAGGTCCTGCGTCCTTGCACGTCCCACTTCACAACTTGTCACTGGCTCGAGGGCAAAGGGTGCCCAACAGCAACTGTCGTCTCTTTTAATTTGATTTTCAGACAGCCCACGCTCACTCTTCCTCTCTCTCTCTCTCTCTCTCTGCCTACCTCCCTCTCTCCCTCTCTCGCTCTTTCCTGGTTTTGCCACCGCACGCATTTTAACGCTTTTTATTTGCTATGCAAAAGTTCAAGTGTATTATTACCTCAACAAAAAAAAAAAAAGAAAGAAAATGGAAGGCAAAGTTGGTTTATATTCCGTTGGCTGCTAATAAAAGCAATTTATGAAGCCCAAAGCGCGGAAATGAATTGTTAACAAATTTTGCGGCATTGAGTTTGGTGCGTTGAGGCAAGTTTTTCGGCCTGGCCAAGATGGAGCTGACGTCGCGGCGCTGGCAATGATGAGTGGCATCGTTGTCGAGTGGACGACATGTCTTGTTTATGGTCAGGCGGCACACGCATAAACAGAAGGCACAACAACAACAGCAACAACAACAGCAAAAATATAATAATAATAAAAATGGGCAGCCCCGCGTCACAGCCCCTACCCCTGCTCCTGCCCCTGCCCATGAGTTGGCACACTCTGTGGCATTGGCGAAATTTCCCCAAGCGCGCATAAAATGTAAACCCGAGGCAAAGAACTGACTGAAAAAAGTAAAAAGAGAAGCACACACACACACAAACACTCATTCACACTCACAATCACACACTCATTCACGCAGGAGTCAAGTGCAATCTGTGGAGCGACAATGGCTTTAAGCCTGCGCAGCTGTTCAATTTTTATATTCGTTGAGGTTTGTAAATTGAGGAGTCGCTGCTTCTCACTTAAAAGTTCATAATGAGCAGCTAAGCTTATTAGAGCAATAAATTAGAAATATATATAGCTAATAAATATGGGCGAAATTATAAGTACTTCCACTCAGAGGAATAACAAAAGTAATACGAAATTGGACGCCATTGCAATTAGATATCTTCATGGAGCTACGACAATGAGCCATGTATTCAATATTAATTTACTTAAAACAATTAAATTTACTTAAAACAATTAAATTAAATAAACTAGTTTTACTATGGTCGTGCCCATCATTTTATATGGAATGCATTTTACCAAAATCCAAATTCTGACTAATAGGAAAATGAATTGGAGCTAACTGGCTCCAGCGCTACAAAGGGACCATTATAAATAATAATAAATATTATTATTACAAATAATCTAATAATAATTATTATTATAAATAATAATAATTAAATATATATATTGATTTTTCAATTTATAAATAATATTTTTTAGTATAAGACAAATTGCAAATAAAAAATAGAAATAAAATTTTTTTAAATTATTGTTTTAATACATATTATAAAAAAAAAAAAAAAAAAAAAAACACCAACTATTTTTTTTTTTTTTTTTTAAATATATTTTGTGTATTAAAGTGTTTTAATGATATTGTAAAAAAGTCTATCAGTGATTTCCATTTTTTTTTTTTTTTAGATGCAAATTTTTCAATTATTAAATTTTTTTTACTTTGCGAATAAATAAAATAAATAAAATTGGGCTAAATTTTATTTAAAATTATTTAAATTAGAATGAAATTTTTATTTATAATTTTTATTTTGTCAATAAATGTGATTTTTAAATTTGAATAATAATTTAGCCTCATTTGCGGATGTTCTTGAATATATGTATACTAGTTAAAAATAATTACTTATATATATGATGGAATCCATGCCTTTCTCATATACTGACAAACAACTCCAATTATTATAATTACTATTCTAGTCGATTTCTATGCTTTAATTAGGTATCTATAGCTACCCGCTCTATATCTAATTAAAAGCAAAGTTACTTATAAACAAATTAAACGTGAGCAGTTTATCTGGTTTAATCTTCATTCGCAAACTTTGCTGCTTCATCGCCTGGCAACGTTCTCTAAGCTCTAAGAGCTTTTTGATTACTTCTCTTGGCAAGGACAGAAAAGATAAGTAAAGCTAAAGCAACGGGAATTTTAATAAAAAAAAAAAAAATTGCATAGTGCACAACAAAAATAAAATAAATAACTAGAATTTAGAATTCCTCTTTACAAAGAACTTATAAAACCTTTAAGAAAATATATGTGATTTTATGTGTACTTTAGTAATTAATTGAAAAATAAATTTCTTGTTTATTTGTAGAGCTGTGAATTTATTTTTTAAATTAATTGAAGTACGAATTTTTTAATATATGTCATAATATTATTTTTTACTTTAACTCCAAAGTTCACATGAGTGCAACTTCGTTTCCAACTTTCCTTTGTAATTTAGCCAAACTTTTGCGTGAAGTAATTTTTGTGCTCCACTTGCTGTAGTTGGTCTTGTTTTTAATCTACTCGATTTGGCAGGGTCTTCGACCAACTTGCATTAAAAAATTAAAATTCTCGTGCGTGTTTGACAATCAAGAAAGTGCAGCTCGCAGCTAAGCTTGTCGTTTGGGGCAGCAGTAGCAAAAAAATATGCAATAGGGTAAGAGCACTGGAAATGGGCATATATTACTATGTAACACTTCTGAATGGAATTAAATGTTAGCTTATTGTGCAGATTAGAAAGAATTCAGGCTCTATCGAAGCCTTCATTAAGTCACCTTTCCAGGCTAATTAAATGCTGTCAAGAGTAACTCAAGCTAATGGTGGATAATATATGTGGAATATAGATAAGGCAGCTAGTATTTATTTTGGCATTTATTTGACAACCCAATGAACTCGATGTTCGAGTTTTGATAATTTTTACCCCGCTAAATCGAAAATCGTGTAAATCGAACAAAATTCTATCCCCTTAAGAAAAGTTCTTGATAATTCTCGATAATTTAAAATTCTTTGAAATCGAAAAAAAAAATGATCCCCTGGCCATTTCGAATTATCGGAACTTGACTGTACTATATATTCTATATTCTAAATATATTTTTTTTTTATATATTTATTATCTTTATCTATAAATGTTATATATTATTATATTTATTATGTAAATCCTATATATTAACACATTAATGTATTTAAAAATTTCTTAGTCAACAGCCCGTTTTATTGATATTAACAATTTAAGCCTTGGCAACTCTAAAACAGTATAAATCGGCAATTGTATTACGTGATAAGTAATTAAGCAGCTAAAGAAATGAATTAAAGAGAAAGATAATATTTCAGTTCAGCTTACAGCAAATGCGAGCATATGAGCTCAGCTCGCACATTTGAATTGTCTGCGTGAGATCAAACGTTAAGCAGAGTCTGAAATGCCTTGACTAACTTTCATTATCTCTTTGACAAACTCGATATACTCCATTCGGAATCAAGCGTAAAGTGTGCATTCAAGTTCCGCCCACATCATGGCAGCAGCAGGAGCAGCAGGAGCAGCAGGAGCAGCAGCAGCTGCTATTGTTGTTAATGTAATTCCGACTCCTGCTGCTGCTGCTCCTGCTGCTGCTGTTGCTGTTTAATTGTGAGATAAAACTTACCGATAATGAGCAGCTTTATGGTTGTCATGTTTGCCTTTTTGTTGTTCCTCTTTTGTTGTTGTTTGTGGACTTTTCTCTTTCAGCTGTTGTTGTTTTCACTTCTTTTGCTTTTAATTGTAAAATCGTTGCTGTTGTTGTTGTTGTGCGGTTTGATTGTTTGTTCTCGTTGTTGTTGTTGTTTTTGCTGTTGTCTGTTGTTTGCAATGTTGCACGTATTTCTCTCTCTCGTTTTTTTCGAATTTGTTATTTACGCAATTTATTAATCCGACTTGGGCACAGTTTGACAAGCGCTGGCAAATGGCATTTTAATGTTAAAGCGCTCATGCTTACTCCCGCTCTTCCTCTGCTTTATAGTCTCTTATTGCACAGTTTTAAGCTGCTGCTGCTGCTGCTGGTTGAGTATTTCAATTAAATTGATTAAAATGCAGCACACCTAGCCGCGCTCACCTTAACAACTTTTGCCACTGGGGCCGTTTGAATATTTCAGAGCAACAGATATAAACAGACGAAGGGACAGATGGACGAAGGGATAGACAGACAGACAGACAGACATATAGACAGATAGACGTTGGCCATTGAGTGATATATAATTCCAGATACGCCTAGACATTAAATTAACATATTTTGTTAATAATCATTATTTGTGCATGTCCCTCTCTTTCCCACTCACTCGCTCTCTCTCTGTCTGAACCCATCTTTGCTTAACGCTAGACTCGGAGCTGCTACACATGTAAATTGCTGCCTAATGTCTTATTCATGTTTACAGGCTTGTGCCACTGGCTTTACTCGACTCTCTGCCTCTCTAGCCCACTCTCTGTCTCTCTCTTTCTCTCACACTCTGTATCTCTGTTCTAAAATTTACTTTGCGTGCTGTGAACTTATTAGGGCCAGCTAAAGCCAAACCTTTTGGCTCAGCAATTACAACGACTTTTTCTTCCATTTCTTCTTCTTTTTTTTCGTTTTCTGTTTTTTTGTTTCTCTTGTTTTTTTTAATTTTGTTTTTATTTTTATTCAAAGCTAAATAAACGCAATTTGCTGGTCATATAACGCTTGACCATTTCTGTTGTCCTTTCGCATGCATTTAAATTTAATTGCGCTGCCTTTGCCGCCGCTCCACACAATAAATCTCTGCTAATTGTGACTGTATTTATTTACTTTTTGCTGCATACTTTGGGGCGCGCACATTAAATCGCACTTGCATGTATTCATTTCGTTCATTAAATATATTTGAATGTTTTTAGGAATGAAATACGAGTTAATCGGATAATCTTTCTTATACAATATATATTTAAATAAATTTATATCCAGAAAATTAATGCCTATATATAAATTTATTTGTATTTATTTTTATTATTCTTGGTCAAACCTACTAAGCTAAGCCAAGCTAATGAAATTCTGTTCCACAAATTTCTATTTTTAATGTACTTCATTTAATTCGGGATTTCACATTTTCAATTATATTACACTGTAAATAATATTATATATATTTGTTCAATATTTCATCAGTTCTCGTTTATTTTCAATACATAAAGATTTCAACACATGTGTTAAAATTTCTTTTTGAAATCCTTCGAAAGAAATGACGGTTAAATATATTTTATTTCTAACATAAACTTGCTTAATGAATTATTTCTTATAATAAATAAAAATATGATTAATTTTTTAATTAATAAATAATATATATTAATTTAATCATTAATTTATTTTAAAATGAGTAAATATTTGTTAATTATAATATAAGAATTTAATTATATAAATAAAATAAAAGTCAGAAAGATTTTTAAAACCTTTCTTTTGGCATTATTAATATTAAAAACTTATAATTTAAGCTTGAGAGATTTGTATTTGCATTTTACCTTTTTTTAATTTATTTTTTTTAATTTTTTATTTGTAGTTTCAATATTAATAAATTTGTTAACGAACGAAAATAGTTGTTCAGTTGTTAAAGATTCTAATATAAAAATAAAAATATAAGATCTCTCTAGTCAAATCATAAATGTATAACCATAATAATTAAATTATTAATTATATATATCAAATAATATTAATAATAATAACAATAATTCAAAAGCTTTATTAAAATTATGTATTATGTGTCTTAGTCAAAGTTTGTCCTTAAAAATTTAGTCTGATTTTCATTATTATTTTTTTTTTTTTTTTCACTCTGTTACATTTTGCAAATTTTCCATTCATGAATTGTTTTAGACATTTGCATGCAGCTTAACTGATTTGTTCATTTAAAATAGATTTGATTGCTAAAATTTACTCTTGGCAATTCTTCCATTTTATTTCTATAATATTTTTGCATTTCCCTGAATTCATTAGAATTTTCCACAAGTTATTATTTTATATCTATTTTTGTACAGTTTCTAAACACAAACACAAATATTTCTGGCAGACTGTCAGCACAGACATATATACAGAATATTCTCTAGATAAACTTGGCCAACAGTTGCAGACTTTAGTTGAGGAATTTCTAATTTCTTTGCAAACTTCAGCTTCAAATGCAGCAAAGAAAGTTTTTATTTTCGCAATATTTTCCAAAGGCTGCGAAGCATAACAATTGCGAGTAGGTCAACGGCTGCAGGTAGGAAAAAAGCCCAAAAAAAAAGCCCATAAAAATAAGAATAAAAAACACAATGTGCTGGCCACATTATATGGCACGGACAAACGGACAGACAGAGAGACAAAGAATCAGCTGTCACAGTAGAATAATAAAAATGAATTTATTTGCGTTCTATATGCGAGCGACTGTTGCTGCTGCTGCTGCTGTTGCTGCTGTAGCTGCTGTTGCTGCTGCCAAGGACAACAAGTTGGAGGCAAGAGAAAAGAAATACTGTTGAAATTATAAGAATTTGACAGATGAGGCAGCGCGTGTCCTGGCACAGCGCCCAGGTGAAATTGGAGCACAACTTTAGCCTTAAATTGAGCTAAAAAAAAATACAAGAAAAATCTCTTTTATTGCCGCTGCAGTTGGCCCAGTTTCTGCGGCTGTTGTTAGTCGTGGTGGGTGGCTACGAATTGGCCGGCATGAATATGCATGCGGCGTGACGACCAGCAAGGTCGCACAGCATAGCTGGCAGCAGTTGCACTTGAGTTGCGGCACACAGCTGCTGCTGCAGCGGCAACTGCAACTGCTGATTGCTGCCAGAAGGAAACGAAAATGGAAAAGCTGAAGCAAAAGCAATTTGCATAATTACAACGCACATGAGCAACACTTGCTGCGGCCTGTCCGCCTGCAAGTAGGCAACGGCTTTTCATTAGCTTCTAAACACGGCGAGGACAACAACTTGTGCAACACGCGCGCGCTTCACACTGCCACGGCACACACACACGTGGGCACTCACACATGGACACTTATTTAATGAGAGACACGATTAATCAGTTCGGGTATTGCATCCGCTTTGCCGCCCGTTGCCGACGAACGCTTCTTACCAACTAACACAATTTGAGTTTTGTTATAGCTTTAAAAACGAAGTCCGGCTGACGACGAATGACGACGCTGACGCGCAGCCTTCGGCTGGACGAGTTACGAACACGGCACGAACGAGCACTCACGAAGTGGGGCTAGACGCTTGCGCTTGACGATGTGCGAAGAGAGCGCGCTTGTTTAGCAACATTGTTGCGCACTCAAATGTTGCTAAGCTGTTTGCACGTTGTCTTAGGTTAGTTTTCACTTGAAGGAAACTGTTAAATGAAAAGTTTTGTTGTGTATTTTTGGTTTGCACTCGAGCTATTAATAAGTTTCTGTGATCTCCTCTAGCTCTATCTGTGTGCAGCCCGACTTAGTTGCTCTAATGTTGCCTACTTTCTGGAGACGACAAACGAGCGTACATTCGCGCACTGAACTTCGTCTGCAGCCGAGCCTCGCATTTAAGAGCGCGACTCGTTTCATTTGCCATTGCGTTCCGCTCTCTGTTGGCAACATGTTGCGAGCGCTGGCTTCGCAACAAGCGCGCAACAGTTGTGACCAGCTGTAAGCGACGCACTTACACCAATTGCCACTTAACTAAAATGCCACTCAAAATTTCTCTTGCACTTGTTGTTGTTGTTGTTGTTGTTGTAGCAGAGCTAGCCTCAAAGGCCTAAAACAGTGAGCAGCAATCAACAAATGTGGCGAAAGGCCGAAAACAGCCAAAATTCCCCTTCACACATAAAATATGATATGTTAGTTTTACAACACTAACAAAAGCTAGAGCCAGTTACAGCTATGCCTGTATTTACAGTTACAGCTGCACATTCACAAAAGTTGTTAAAAAGTCCGAAATAAATTTGTTTTCGTTTGCACTTTTCATTTTTTTACATTTTTTTTTTTTTTTTTTTTTTTAGACTTTGACATAAATTTATGCGTTTTGTTTACAACAACAAGAACAAACACTGACTCCTGTTATAGATCAGGTCACGGATAGCCTTAGGTGTTTGTGTATAACTCAGCAGGGGAGTCTGACATGTGGGCGTGGACGGGGGGCGACTCGCAGCGATTGCTGCTGACAAACTAAAGTATGTTTCGAAATTGAGATGTCATAAAAACGAAACAGCCTGTTATGAAGTACAGTGAGCACTGACTGCGACGAGCAGGCGAAGAGGCAAAGGATTGAAGTGGAGAGAACAAGTAATTGTTAAAATTGAAGTTATTTCTTTACTTCTTATTTTATTTTAATTAAAATAAAATTGATGAAAATAAAATCTTAAAAAAATATTGGGAAAAGCTAAATATATAGGAATGCTTTTATTTTCATTAGTAAGTGTTAGATATTTATGTGAAAAGAGACACTGCTTTACAAGCTTTTATTGCAAAATAAAAATACATATAAGAAAATATTAAAAATATTTCTTTTCTCTTCAGCAAATAGAATAAATAATATTTTGTGGTTTTATCGGAATATTCGAGTTGAAGTTCGTTGGTTATCGCTATGTGTTCACTGTACGAGCCTGTCTGAGGTAAGGGCTGGACTCTGAGCCACTTGGCATTACAACTAGTCATAAAATACACGACAGCTGAAAGCCAGGTCGACCAAACGGGCTTTGAGTAGCAAAACTTTTCTTTTTTTTTTTTTTTTTTGTTTTGCTATTACCTGCGATTTAAATAAAAGGGTTTGGCAAGCGGGCGGGCGGACAGAATCGTGGCCAAAATAAAGCGACAGAGGCAGTTTCAACTTTGATGACGAGAAGGCTATAAAAACTGAAGATGAAGATGAAGTGGGGAAGCTGAAGATGAAGAAGAGGCAGAGGCAGGCTGAAGAAACGACCTATCCAACACTTTTAACTTGCGAATGCCCAAGTGGGGGGAGAGGGGTGGTTAGACAGACGAAAAAAATACGATATGTAAACGAATGTGGAAAAATCACAAGGAACATGAATGCTGCAAGAAGACACAAAATACCCTGTAAATGGGATGAAAATAATAAGAAGTATTTTAAATATATATTTATACGCAACAATAAACGTATAAATGTGTATTTAATGTAATTAAGATTACTAAGAGAAAATAATGCTTGAATTCAACTATATTTATTTTGATTATATTTTATTTTTAATAAAATATCGGTATACAACATTATTATTATTTTTATTATTTTTTTTTTATTTATTTATTTTTTTTTTTTTCATTTAACACTAGAGGATAACCTAGTCTTTTTCTAGTTAAACAAAGGCCTATATACATTGGAAACAAATATCTGGTAAAGTAACCCAAGTACAAGAGAGAAAAAAAAAAAAAAAAAAATTTTTTTTTTTTTTTTAATAAAATTGAATTCCCTTTAAACAACTTTAGACTAGCAACTTCTAATCACTCCATCAGTTTTCTAATCAAACTTCTATTAGCACATTGTTCAGATGGTGTAACCATATTATACAAATAATTCTATGCATCTATAATAAATAAATTCAAATAATAAAATATTGTTCTCAGTACAATAATCCATAATGCCAAGCTAAAATGCTTGAGAGGACTAAGTATCCTTAACTTCATTATAATCGATGTTCGCGCCTGAGGAAATGCAGAACCTCAATCAGATTTAGTTAAAATCATCACAATGTAGTTCATCTTGCTTTTCCTTTTACATAAACTAATCAATCGATTAAATTTATATCGTAAGCTTTAAATATATTCAACAATTTCTCGTTCCTCTTCAATTGTATTTTATTCTTACATTATTTTTATTATTATTTTTTATTTTTATATATAATCTATGCACATTTTAATTTCATTGGGTGAGAAACAAATGCCACGCCTACTGCTCTACGACCGCCCCATTTGGCAGCCAACTAAATGTGTTATTTTAACACCTTCACGGTTGCCCTCGTTCGATCCACAAGTGGAAAGGTCCTGGCTGCTCCATCAAGGATGCAAATATGCCACGGGTCTGCTCAGCAATAATCAATACAACGGCAACAGCTTGCCGTTATCCTTGCGGCAAAGGATATTAATAGATGCTCATCGCTGGCTGCTGTGAGGGCAGCACAGGTGAGGCACAGGTGACAGAGGTGATTTCATTTGACTAGAGCTGAGATTGCTTCGATGGATGAGGTTGAGGTTGCTTATACAGAGAATTTGTTGGTGAAATTAATAATGAAATATATACTAATAACAATGAAATAAATAAAAAATAATTTAGTAGAATAAAATAAATAAATAAATTGAAAATTGAAAAAAAATATAGATAATTAAGTAGAATAAAATATATAAATATTTATTCATTTCAATTTTAAAAAAAAAAAAAAATCCAAAAGGCTCAAAATGGAAAAAAGGGAAGAACTGAACAAAAAAAAATGTAATATTAAAAATAAAATACAAAAAACAAAAAAAAAAAAAATGTTGTCAACGTGTTTGACAGATATAACACTAAATAACAGTTAAAAATCGATGCCTTAATTAGAAATTAATTCTAAAAATTAAAAATCTATATTAAGTGGAAATTAAAGAACAATACTAAAACTATTGAACGTTATTGTAAAACTTTATAAAAAGCCACAACAAAAATTGTACAAATTACAATAAAAAGTTTAATATTAAGGTAAAAATAACTATTTATTAATATAAAAAAAAATATTAAAAAAAAAAATTAAAAAAGAACTAAGAAGAGCTTTGAATATGCTCATTCGAATTCAAGATGAATATTTCTATTTTTCTAATAATGATTTATAATACAATTAAAATTTCTTTTTCTATTTCTATAATAATACAAATATTTATACTTGACATCCGCCACTGCTGCCGCCTTTGTTAGGGTATTTAGAATTCACTACATTGATTAGTTAATTTACAAACATTTTGTTGCTTAACGCTCGAAACACTTTTGCATAATATTTTTCTACCCATTCCTTGCATAGCTTCTGCCTCTTCTTCTTCTTCTTCAACTGGTTGTTGTTGTTGTTGGCGCATTTCAAAATTCACAATTCAAAACGTGTTAATTAGGCAGTGGATGTGGGCGTGGCTGTCGCAGCCATCTCTCTCCCTCCCCCTCTCTCCCTCCCCCTCTCTCCATCTCTCTCTCTCTCTCTTACTTGCTGTCTATCAAATGTGTTAATGACTTGCCAGCCCGCTACCGTTACTTATACACCGCACCCACCTACCTCCCTTTCAACACACCCCCCCTGCCCCACCCACATTTCGCACTCTCTATCGCTAACCGCTTTTACCTTTCTTCAATTTTCGCGTTTTGACTGCTTCAGCTGGAGTTTTGATGGGTGTAAGTGGGTGGTGGGCGCATGGGGGGGCGTGTCAATAAAATTAGCATTTTCTTTGCCTTTGCTTGTGCTTGTGTTTTGTTTTGTGCTTTTGTGTTTTGTTTGGCTTGTCGCACAAATTAAAGCTGTGCAGGTTGAGACCAGCGAGAGGGGGAGGGGGCGGGGTGAGACCAGGGAGGAGCTGGTTAATAAAGCAGGGGCGGCATAGGCGTGGCGCATTACGCAACTAAATATTCATGCGACTTGGTTTAAAACTTTGATAACGCGCACACACACACACACACACACACGCACACACTGGCACATTCTCATACATTGTTGCCTCTGTTAGCCCTAGGGTAAGCTGGGGCTGGAGCAGGTGCAGCCATCAACTATCAAATTACGTTTCGACATGTGTGCCGGGTCGTAAAAAGCAATGTTTAAGCCCCATAAAACAGCCAAGCAGCCGCCTTTAAATATTTTATTGTAATTAAGCCGCGAATTGCTCCCCGAACGCTAACTTAAAAATCAACGCAGCCGTTGTTAAGCACTGACCCCACATCTGGACTGAGTTTAAAGAGCGAAAGAATTTCTACGGAGCTTCCCCGTTCACAAGAGTCTTTAAGAGTAGATCTTTTTTATAAGAGCTTAATATGTTTGCCTCCTCTTTGCCCTGGATATGCTCTCTTCTATAGCCTCCACAATAATTACCTTTAGACTGATCCTCTAGCCCATTCCTCATCTAATCTGTCTACCTATCAATACCAGTATACTTAGATCCATACACTACACTTAAGATTCGCCCCTTCGCCTCAGCGCACTCTTCTCCTTCTCTCTCTCTCTCTTTAGTGTTTCTATCCTTCTCTCTTCTCTTACCATACATCCTTTTCACTTCTAGTTTTACTATACTATTCCCCTCATTCTATGCCTCCTCCTACCAGCCCTCTACCTCATCCTCTTCTCACAGCCATGTTTCTTCCCCTTTACAAGATCTCATCTTTCTGTCTATCTTATTGTCTACTCTCTGATTTCCTCTCTACTATTTCCCCTTTATGTCGACTCCACAACATCCTTATCTTATTTACGCTATCATCAGCATTTCAAC